GCTTTGGCTGTCGTACGTGTCCTGCCAGGAGCCAGAGTTCTCGTGCTTCCTCAAAACATCACATTTTTCATAAAATGATGACAACCAGTCTTTCTGGGCTTCTCGTTAGTGGTCTCGGGAGCCCTATTAGCCTATTCCAGCCCTGGGTTCTTCCTGGCTGCCGCTGGGCTTCAGATTCAAACCCACATTCAGCTCACAAGGCCCCTTTGAGCTGTAAACCTTCTAACATCCCCAGGGCCTGAAGCCACTCAGGTGTCTTTGAGCTGTAAACCTTCTAACATCCCCGGGGCCTGAAGCCACTCAGGTGTCGCAGCAGACATGGCAAATTGAACAGCTCCCTGGGGGTGCTCCCCCCCCCCAGTGATGGAAGAATGTACTCAGGGCCATCACTCCCAGGAGGAGGAGGAGGGTGTGGGTGTCTGGGCTAAGGGTCTGCCAGCACTGTGTCTTGGGGGGTCTCCTTATGCTGTGTGTACAGAAAAGTGGAATAACCTACTGCCCAATGAAAGCAATGCTGAGCTGCAGGTCAAGACGGCCAGGGACGAGTCAGGAAGTTGGCTGAGTAGCTAAGACAGATACCCACAACCCACGTTGGATGCCTGGGTCCAGTTCCCGCTCCAGCTCCTGACTCTGCCTTCCATTAAAGCAGACCCTGGGTGGCAGGCAGTGATGCCCCCAGTAATCGGGTTCCTGCTACCCACAGGAGCGTCCCTGCTCGTGGCTGCAGCCTCGGCTCAGTCCTGGCCATTGTGGGCATTTGGGCAGTGATCCAACACATGGGTGTTCTCTGTCTCTCAAATACATAAAACAAAAATTATTTTTAGAATAAGAAGGCTCCTGGGAGAGCTGTAAGCCGTGCAGGGAAGTGTGGTGTAGGTGCGACGAGGGAGCGAGGGTTTGTCCACTGTAGCACAGCGGGGCAGACGTAGGGGGATGGACGGGTACTTCCCGGTGCTGTCAGTCACAGGTGTCACTTGTGAGACCGTGAATTGGGAGTGGCACAGGGAAGAATACTACAGGGAGCACAGGAAGGGCTCAGAGACCTGAGCGACGTCTCCAGCGAGTCCAACAAGGGACCACAGTTACTGCCCCCTGCCCCAGACTAGGCCTGGGGCAGATGTGCCCCCGTTCTGAGGTCCTCCGATCCCAGGGTCCTAGAAGAAGCTCTGCAGCCTTTGGTGTCTGCAGGTCTGGGCTCCTTGCCTTCTCGCAGGTCCCACCTGGTGGGCGCAGCTTCTCCTACATCTCTGGCTCTGCAGACAGCACAGGATGGGCGCTAACGCTGCACTCCTCCACCCAGCTACCTGCGGCCCAAACTCATGGTCGGGGAGGCAGGGGGCAGCCTCTGTGCAGGACGGGGGCCTCCCCCTTGCTACCCCCCTCCCAAGGAGTGAGCCTGCAGCAGCGGCTTGTCATTGTCACTGTGTGAAGAGCCTCACAGCTTCCCTTGCACCTCTGGAGGAAGTGCTAATGAGGAGAGCGCAGTGGGGAAGGGTTGTGCCTGCCCGCGGCTACAACAGTTTGTTCATTGGGCTGGTTGGGACCAAGGAGCTTACACAAGGAGCACACCTTGCAGAGGGCAAGACACTCCTGGAAAAGGAAGGAACATACCCACCGTCATGGCAGTCAGCCCACAGAAAGTGCCTGGGGCAAGCACTCCTAAAGCAAAGACTCCCAGAGATGCCTGACCCCAGAGGTCAAGCGTCGTGTTGGGGGCCACACATGCATACAGGCAGAGCTGTGCCTCTCCTACAGCTGAGACACCCCAGGAGGACACGGAGCAGGCCCAGGCCCCCAGCACAACTTCCTACTTTTGCACCATAGTGCAAAGCAAAGCCACTCCTCCCATTTGTTTCCCGGGGAGGGTGGGGATGCAGTAACTCCCTCAGCCTGCCCAGGAAGGCACTCACTGGACTGAAGTGAGTCGGGGGCAGATCCAGCCTTGGGCTCAGGCCTTTCCCCAGGAGCAGTGAGAAGAGTTTTCTTGTCTAGAATGATCCCTGGAATACAAGGCACACACCATCCCCCTGACCCCCATCTTCTAGAATTGTCCCTTCCTATGGCCAGCTCTGGGCTCTGTGGTCCTCCACATTGCAGGCAGGGCCAGGCCAAGACAGAAGGCAACAGCCACCAACGCTTGTCCAGGCCCTACCGCTTGCACCTGCAACTCCAGGCCCCAAGACAGCAAGGCTGCCGGGAAGAAGAAAGACTGGAGGAGCTGCCTCTAAACAGACAAGGGAAGGAGCCAGGGAGACAAAGCAGCTAAAGGCAGTGCCTGAGCAGTGCTCAGAAGGGCAGCCCGAGGCCAGGGACTGCGGCAGGTCAGGGCTTGATGAGCCACTGGCGCAGTGTCGCTGAGGGGTCGAGGTGCATGAGTCAGCTGTGTCACCATGATGATGCCGCTGCGACACCTAAACAAGCAGGAAAGGTTTCTTTGGAGCTGCACAGTCCAGCCCAGGCAGGCGCCATCGGCCTGGGCTCTGATGATGGCCTCCTGAGATGGCACAGAGCTTTGGGGGACAGAGGGAGTGCCCGTAGTGGACAGACCACGTGGTGGCTAGGAAGCAGAGAGAACACTTGTGCCCCTCTCGGGCTTTTAGCCAACCCTCTCAGTAGACTGCCTCCGAGGGCACGCCCCCAGTGACCGGGGAGGCCTCCCACTCAGCACACCTCCCAACTGGGCCAAGTTCCAGTCTCCTAGTACCATTAACTTGTGACTTTGGGCACCAAGCCTTTAACACATGGGCCTTCCAGGAGGGGGGGCGGGAACGATCATCCAGGTTGGTAACAAAACCTTAGCACATGGTGAGGCTGGAGCCTGAGATCCACCAGGTGGGGAGGCTGGGGAGGTGGGGATGGGGAGACAGAGACACAGGGGGGCAGCTCCAAGAGAAATATCTGGAGAACGCAGAGCAGCTTCCGTGGGACTTAGGGGAAAACTCACCCCACAGGCACCAGCTACACTGCCCAGAACACTTTTCACACAACCTACTTGACTGCTCATTTTATGAAAATGAGTTCCTATCAGGGCTGATAATACTCAGAGGCAGGCTCAGAGGGCCAGAGCAGGTGCAGGCCAAGGGGCTCGGACACTCTTGGTTACAACAGGAAGTGGGATCTAAGCCCCCAGCAGGGCAGGCAATGATGCCCTCTCAGCAGAACGGATGCAAAACTTCTGAGTGGCGTGGGCCACGCCACACACGCGGGCCCTGCTCGCCTTTCCATTCTCACCGACGACCGCTTCCTCCTGACTTTTCACCCTGCGCTCCACACGGTTCCTCTAGCACTGGCCGCTCCCCCACACCTCGGGGACTCTGCACTTTCTCTCTCCCTTTAGCCTGGAGCGCCTTCCCTAGCTCAATTACCAATACCCGGGAAACCTCCTGTGACCCTCCCCCGTGTTTCCCGGTGTCTTCCGTCAGCACCAGACCGGCCTTTACCACGTGCTCTGCTTATCTGTGACTGCAAGGACAGGACCAGGTAACACTCTTGCCTGTAGCTCAGCTCCCAGTACTCTGACCACTGGCCTTCAGAAATGGTCACTGAGCAACTCAGTTCCAAGATCAAAACGGCCTGCACAGAAGATGCCCTCCAGGGAGGCTTCCAGCCCACAGAGACCTTGCTTCCTCCAAGAACTTCCCCAGACACCAGCTGACCCGAGAGGACACCTGGGCCTGTGTTGTGGCCCAGCAGGCCAAGCTGCCGCTTACAAAGCTGGCATCTCACATAGGAGCGCCAGTGGGAGTCCCGGCTGCTCTGCTTCGATCGAGCTCCCTGCTAATGTGCCTGGGAAAGCAGCAGAGGAGGGCCTGAGGACTTGAGTCTCTGCCACCCATGTGGGAGACCTGGAGGGAGTTCCTGGCCCAGCCCTGGATGTTGTGGGCATTTGGGGAGTGAACCAGCAAATAAGAGATTTCCCTCACTTTCTCTCTTCTGCAGTCTCTTGACTTTGCATGGTGTTTATTTGCTATTCAATGTCTTCCTAAGTAAGAAAAACTGAAAATGTTAACTGACTAGCATGAATGCTACCATTCTTTTTTATATAGCACAATGCCCATATGCTGATGACAGAAATGGCATCATCTGAGTTTCTCGGCTTCTCTAAGAGGATGCCTCCAGCTGGCTGGGAGAGAGGAGCCCGAGTGCACCCAGCCATGCACTGGCCACTAGGCACGGGGATACTCTGTGGCATCAAGTCTCATGCCTGTTGCATTCCCCTGCCCATCAGCTGCCTGGCCTAAGCCCCAACGGCTGGGCCGGGATCAGAGGATAGTGGGGCACTGGCTACTGCACAGCACACAGGGGGCTCTCGGGGTCTTTAAATCTCCACTCCAGGATGTGATCAGATCTGGCAGGAAACAGTCTCACCCTCCCTGAGTTGCCTACTGAATGTGCCATGTAGTGGCCAGCCTGGGTAGGGACGGCCACCATTATGGCTGGCCCTCAGACTCTTGGGGCGCACACACACACACACACACACCCTGTGACCCTCCCCTGCCAGAGGCACAGGGTGTGATGTTCACCAGGTGAGACAAGGGAGGACTGGGCCTCAGGGCTCCCAGGAGCTGGCAAGCAAGGGCTTCAGGCGTCACTACCACACAGGAGCCCAGATCCAACCTCTTGATGCGTGCATGCTCCAATGTCCCATCCGGGCTTCACTTCCAAAACACACGCCCAAAAGTAAAGTCAGGACTTGCAAGGCAGTGGCTACCGAGCATTAAACTCCAAGTAATGGGCCCTTCTGCGCATGCACCCCTGTGTGATTGCCCTGGCCCCACATCCATGAGGTTGGCCCTGTATACATGAGGAAGACCTCTGCTCCTCAAGAAACCACATACGTGTAGGTGCTTAAGTGAGACCCAACCCATCCCATGCATATTAAAGAAGCCGAGAGCACCCGGAACCGCAGGCCAAGACTGCCCCTCCCATGCCACCCACAAAGGCCAGGCTGACAACGGGCGGCCTCAGTCCCTTCATCTCAGACTGCAGGTTGGACCACAAGCCGCGGCACGGACGGGTAAACCGGCATCCGATTCCTGAGCGTGCATTTGAGCTTTATTCCAAAGTTCACACTAGATAATGTTCCAAGAGCATCTCCTAACGGAAGACAGGACAACATCAGAGTGTCAAAGAGGATGACACTTGACCTTCACCTTAGATAAAGAACTTCCTGTTGGCGTTGGCTCCGAACAAGGCCGTGCGTATTTCTGGCATCTGTTCCTGGGCTGACAGATCCAGCCGACTCTCCAGGGTATTGGACACCTTTATTCTCTGGTCGCTGCTGTAAACCTCCACGCCTCCAGCTGCGCTCGCGGCCAGGTGGGCCTCTTGATCCAGGTGAACCTCCACAGGTTTTTGGCAGACCATCACGTACTGGGAGACGGCTTTCTGCACTGCAGCCTGCACCAGCAGCACGTCCTGGGGCCTGCAGCGCACGATCACCACGGGCTCCAGCAGGCGGAGCAGGGCTTGCAGCGTGAGCTTATCCAGAAGCCCCTGGTAGACCTGCGGGTCCTCCACAAGCCTGCCAAGTCTCAGCTTCGCATCACTGAGCAATTCTGAGATGAGGTCATCCCGGGCTCTCAGGACCCTCAGCCTGGCCTGATTCCTCAGGGTGGACACCTGGATTTTCTTCTGCTGCTCTATCTGCCTCTCCTTCTTCTCGTAGTACTCCATGATCTTCAGCCTCTGGGTCTGCACGAGGCGTCCTTTCTCGATGTTGAACTCTTCCTCGGCCTTGGCGTCTATTTCCTCTGACTTCTCGTTGGCTTCCTGCTCGATGAAAGCCATCATGTGCTTAATCTGCTTCTGCACATCAGTGTCACTCAGGGCCATGGCCGTCCTGCAGAGGAGGTGGAGCGAGAGCTGGTGCGCCTCTGCTCCCTTCCAGTTAGGGCAGAGTTTCAGCAGTGTCTCCAGATTCTACTTCCTCAGCTGTGGGTGCACAAGAGGGAGAAAGAGAAAATCAGAGCCCATGGGCGGGAGTCCCGAGGACCACCTAGACACCCCTCGTTTCGCAGGGGCTCAGAGAGGGAACGCAACTGTCCAAGGCCATAGAAGAACAGAGGTTGGAAGCCGGGTCTCCAGCGTTCCCTCCCTGCCACACTCACACTCACACCATCTCTTTTGTCCTCAAATGAGACGGTTAGGGCCAACCTGATCCTGGCAGTGGTAGCCTAAGAATCATGTAGCAAGCCAGAAAGATGGCAATACCAAATCAACCTGTAAATGAAAAGTATAGACACATTTTGAGGCTAGAGGACTGGGAGAGTCATTAAAAACAAAACAAAACAAAAGCTGTGGCCAGACAGGCTGTCTGGAGGTGGAAGAGTTTCAGGAGCTTGCACATTGCGTAAAGAGGTAGAGTACTGCTAGGCAGGTCATGGAGCCTTGCAGAGAGCTGGGAAGTAGGAGAGGCTGACAGCAGTCTTTTCACTGAAGTGGTTTTGAAACCTTAACATAATACATCTCAATCACCAGTGGAGCCTTTAAAACCCACCCACCCCCACCTAGTCAATCAGAATCTCTACAATAAGGTCTAAGATTCAGAATCTTAAAGAGGCTCCCTGGAATGCTCAATGAGCTCAGGAAAATGATGCATGGATAAAATGACAACAACCATAAGGAGGGAGAATATACAAAAGAGCCCAGGGCCTGCCTTTGGTCCAGCGGGTAAGTCATCAGCTGGGATGCCCATCCATATCATAGTGACTGCTCCAAGTCCTGGCTCCTCCACTTCCGATCCAACCTCCTGCAATGCATAGCCTGGGATGCAGCTATGATGGCTCAAGAACTTGGGTTCCCACCACCCATGTAAGAGACCCAGATTGAGTTCTGGGCTCCTGGATTCAGCCTGGGCCAGCCTCGGCTGTTGCAGGCATTTGCGGAATGAACCAGTAAATGGAAAACCCATTCTGGCTGTCTGTCTGTCTCTCTCTCTCATTCTTTTTATCTTTCAAGTAAAAACTTTGAATATGAAAATGAACCAAATTTTGGAGCTGAAGAATATAATACCTGAATGGATATTAACAGCAGACTTGATCAGGCAGCAGAAGTTATCAATGACCCTGAAGACAGGTCATTAGAAATTATCCAAAGGAGGAAAAAAAGTGTGAAAAAGAGTGGAGAAAAGGCAAAGGACACACAGAACATCATCAAGTAGACCATTATATGCATAATCCGAGACTCCGAGGGAGGAAAGAGAAAAAGGTCACTTTCAGGGAATTATTGGCCACAATCCCCCCAAATCTGGGAGGGAAAGTGTGTGATACACTGCATTAACAGAATGAGGACTGAAAGTCAGATCCATAGATGCAGAAAGGCACTTGACAAACTCAACACTCTTTCATGACAAAAAAAAAAAACAAAACAAAAAAAAAAACTAAGGCTAGAAACTATCTGAACATAATAAAGGCCATATATGGAAATTCCATAACTAACATCTTATTCAATGGAAAAAACTGGAAGGTTTTCCTTTAAGATCAGGAAGAAAGCTAGAATTCTCACTCTCGCCACTTTTATTCAATGTAATATTGATGTCCTAGGTAGAGCAAACAAGCAAGAAAGGAATTTACATGACATTCAAAATAATAAAAGCATAATGATTTTTTTTGCAAATTACATGATATAGAGAACCCTAAAGATTCCACCAAAAAGACTTGCTAGGAATAATAAGCAAATCCAGCCAAGTTCTACATTACAAAATCAATATGTAAAACTTCATTATGTTTTTTAAAAGGTTTATTTATTTATTTGAAAGGCAAAGTTAAAGAGAGAGAGAGAGAGAGAAAGAGATTTTCCATCTACTGATTCACTCCCAAAATGGCAACAATGGCCAGGGCTGGCCCAGGCCCAAGCCAGGAGCCAGGAACTCCATTTGGGTTTCCCGTGTTGGTGGCAAGGGCCCAAGCACTTGGGCCATCCTCCACTGCTTCCCCAAGCACATTAGCAGGGAGCTGGATTGGAAGCAGAGCAGCCAGGACTTGAACCAGCACTAAATGGGAGCATGTGTTGTGGGTGGTGGCTTTATCTGCTATACTGCAACGCCAGCTCCAGTTATGCTTCCATACATTCATAGCTAACTTAAAAAGAAATCAAGAAACAATCCCATTTACAGTAGTATCAAGAAGAATAAAATACTTGGGAACAGATTTAATCCAGATAGTGAAAACTTATATTTTGAGAACCAGAAAACATTCCTGAAAGAAATTAAAGACATAAATGAATGGAAAGACATTCCCCACTCATAGACTGGAAGACAATATTGTTAAAACGTCCATATTAGCAAAAAAGGGTCTACAGATTCATTGTAATCTCTATCAAAATTCCAATGATATTTTTGGCAGAAATAGGGAGAAAATCCTAAAATTTATATAAGACCACAAAAAGAACCCCAAATAGCCACAACAACCTTGAGAAAGAACAACAAAGCTAGAGAGTATCCACTTTCTATTTCAAAACATATTACAAAGGTTAAGTAATCAAAACAACGTGACTAGCATAAAGACAGACAGACCGACCGATGGAACAGAATGAAATGCCCAGAACTAACGCACACATGGACAACCAAATGATTTCAGCAAGACTGCCAAGACAACACAATGGTGAATGGATAACTCTTTAACAAATGACGTTAGAGAACTCAGTAATTGTATGCAAAAGAATGAAATTGAGCTGTTATCCTATATAGACACAAAAATCAATTCTTAAATTCTTAGACACAAAACCTGAATGCCATGAAAGTCCTAAAAGAAAATGTAGGGGGAAAGCTTTCATAACGTTGGTCTTGGCAATGAGTTCTTGGATATTACAGCAAAAGCGCAAACAAGAGAAAGCAAAAATAGGCAACTGGGATAGCATCAAATTAAGAAGCTTCAGTGGAGGCAAGCAAGACACACAGTGAAGGGGTTATCTGTGGGATGGGAGAAAGTGCCTGCAAGCCATATACATGATAAGAGGTTACTATCCAAGGATGTAAGGAACTCCTATAATGCAATGGAACAGCAGACAAAAACCAACAATAACCTGATCAGGAAAATGGGCGAAGGCCCTGAGCGGACATTTTTCCGAAGAAGACACACCAGTGGCCAGCAGGTGCATGGGAAGATGCTCAGCATCTCTACTTGCCGGGGAAATACCAGTCAAAACCACAGTGAGATATCACCTCACTTCTGTTTGGATCGTCATTATTCAGGTAAAGCCGCTGCCTGTGATGCCAGCATCCCATATGGATGCTGGTTTGAATCCCGGCTGCTCCACTTCTGATCCAGCTCTCTGCTATGACCTGGGAAAGCAGTAGAAGATGGCTCAAGTGCTTGGGCCCCTGCACCCGCGTGGAAGACCCAGAAGAAGCTCCTGGCTCCTGGCTTTGGATGGACCCAGCTCCTGCCATTGTGGCCATCTGGGGAGTGAACCAGTGGATGGAAGACCTCTCTCTCTCTCTCTCTCTCTCTCTCTCTCTCTCTCTTTCTCTGTTTCTGCCTCTCTGTAACTCTGCCTTTCAAATAAATAATAAATCTTTTTAAAAAGAATGAAATACCAGTGACTCAGCAATCCCACTTCTGGGTATTTATCCAAAAGAACTGAAAACAAAATCTCGAAGAGATATTTATGCACCTATACTCATCGCACCATTATTCACAATTGCCAACGGATGAAAACAACCTAACAGTTCACTGATGGATGACTAGAAAATACATAGTGTGTACATACGAGGGAGTGTGATTCAGCCTTCAGTAAGAAGAAAATTCTGTCACATGTTACAATGTGGGTGTACCTTGGGAACATCATGCTAAGGGAAATAAGCCAGTCATAGACAAATACTGCAAGAGCACCCTTGCACAAGTTGTCAAACTCATAGCAACAGCAAATGCAAAGATGGTTGCTAGTGGCCAGGCATGGGGGAGTGAGTAGCTGCTGTGCAGTGGGTACAGAGCTCCAGGCACACGGGATGAGAGCGTGCCAGTGATCAAAGTGCGTACAGCTAGTGACACTGTACTTACTGTATGCCTAAAAAGGTGATGAGAAGGGAGATTTGGTGTCATATGTATTTATCACAAAAAAAAAGAGGGAAAAGGATCCTGTCCCAGAATGATGTACTAGTATCACACTCTGAGCGTGGTAGAGAAACAAGCCAGGATTGTGACGAAGACCAAAGCTCTTGGGTTTCACCTAACAGCTGCTGCTGGAAGTTAATAAGAACATCATTTAGCCTGTTCCTTCCCCATTATTTTAGGAGGTACTTGGGGGGAAAAAAGCTACAATTATGTCAATATATTAAAATACTCTCTGCTCCTAAATAAGACAAGTCAATGAGATGGTGGAGTGGGGATGTCCCCAAGGCTCCTCCGTAACTCTGCTGATCACTCTCCTTCTGTGAAAGCAGAGGGGACAAGACGCAGCATGTGCTGGGTTATGTGTGTAGAGGAGAAAACACACCAGACAGACCCTTACCGGCCCCCAGCCTCCAGCCCGCCTTGGCTCTGGCGCCGGGAGTCTGCAACAGAATGTGGAACTTGGAGCACGCACTGGAACCTGGCACTGTTGCCTCCTTCTTTGTGCAGACGACCCTCACAGTCCGACCAGGCGGCTTAAATCCACGGCCAGGCTGTCGCTGGGGGAGGCTGGCCAAGTCTGCCAAGAAGAGGCCAACAGGGACTTTCTTGGCACCTGGGCCATGGCTGGGGGCTCTCCTTGCACGCCCAGAATCTTAATGAATTTGGCACATGGTGGACTTCAGGTCGGGGGTGGGCTTGCCTTAATAGATATGTGTGTGCACCCAGACAGCTGGTTTATTGATTTACTAATGAAAAATACAGCTGTCGTGTTGGTATGTCGTGGTCTCTGTTTTTTGAATTTGGATGGTGCAGGGAGCCAAATCCTATGGTTGTATGATGAGAAACAAACACAAGCAAAATTCACCAGGTGGATAAGGTGGATACCCACCCCAGGCACTCCATCGAAGAGAGAGGGCACCTCTCTGTGTCCATAACAGGCGTTAAGGGGGCGTGGTCTCCTGCCATGGAGCTGGAAGTCACGTGCTGGTTCTGCACTGACCATTTGTAGGCCCCTTTTCCTCATTTACATAATGGAGATAATGCGTCCACATCACGGGATTATTGTGCAGATGAAGTGGGAGAGGTGAGCGGTTAGCACAATGCTGGGCACATAGTTCGTCTTCCCACCTGGGGTTGGCCTTACCATCATTACTGTGCCTTCTATCACCTCTTCTCTGCTCTGGTCTCGTTCCTTGTGCAGAGATCTGATTTCCACTCACTAAAGTGGGAACACATCCCAAGCTTGCTTCCTGTGTAAAACTTGGAGCTCAAGGGACCCACCCTCCTAACACTCCATAGCACCTTTGCCCACGTCCTTGGTGATGGGAGTAGGATGGAATCGTCTCGCAGCCCACCCTCACCCCTGTCCCACCCTCTGCAGTGCCCCCTCTCTGCACCCCCACTAAGCAGTTAGTACAGGGACTAAAGGCAGCTGCTGGGCGGGGCGGGATTCAGATCAAGGACTGAGCAAGCAAGTGTCTCTGCAGGCTCACGGCTGGCTGTGTAGTGTGTCTGGCAGATGTAACTCCCGGTCTGTCTGGGATGGTGATTACAAGCCCACATAAGCCTGTGGCTCGAGCAAAACAACACAGCAAACCCAGAAATGTGAAACACACATGTCTGCCCTTGCCTGAGGGCTCAGATCCTCGCACTCCACAGAGGCAGGCGTGTGCTCTGAGCCACGTCCACCCTGCCTGAGTTGGGGCTGGGGGCAGCAGGGACAGCTGTCCGAGCCAGAGCCCCACCCCCACAGCTACTCAGTACCATCAGCTCTCTTCATAGTCCCGCCCCCCACCAACACATCAGCCAAGTCCTGTTTAGCATCTTTAGTTCCATTTCTTTGCTCAGCTAAAACGCTTGGCTCTGCTTGCCTGCACAAACTAAACCCCACCCGCATGTCAGGCTTCGCTAAAGTCCTACTGCGTCCTTGGCCCCTACGCGCCTCCTCACTCTTCCCCCAAACAACCACAGCATGGTCTGTCTTCCGGGTACAGTTCAGAGCTGGATTCAGTGCCATTGCTTCTTCCAGCTGTTTTGCTTGCTCCAGCAAAGTCCTGGGGGGAGTGAGATGTCCACTCCTGAGCAGGGGCTGGGTGTACAGAGGTGCTAGCTAAACACGGATGATTGGATGAAGGATTTGGAGTTGGAGGGAGGACTTTCTTTTAGTTCGCCTTTTTTTGTTATTGAAATATGATACACATTGGATGAAGTACGTGGAACACAAGTATATGGTTTAATGAGGCAAATACCTAAGTCAAGAAAAAGGGCAGTGCCCATGTCTCAACCCAGAGAGCCAGTTGAGACACACTGGGTGTGAGAATAGGGGAGCCGATTGCAGCTGAAGTGAGGACGGCCACCCGGGAGCATGGACTCCAGTGGCTCCTAAATGGCCTGCAAGGGGTTTGCTCTTACAGACAAAACAAGGGTCCAAAGAAGGGGTGACAGCAAGGTGGTGGTTGCAGCTACTTTGGTCTATACGAAATACACAGACAGCTGCTCAGGGACTGCTTCCCTTGTGTTGTACAGTCCCAGGGACAAACCTTGAGGAGCCGGGATAAGTGCTGCTCAAGGCATTTGTCACACCCAGGCATCACCTTGCCGGAAGAATGGTTTGGTTGTGATTAGACACCCTTGGGAGCCTGGTGGACGTGAGTGAGACCTCACCGCTCACGCTGCTCTGAGCCAGCGGTTTTAGGAGCCTGTCTTGTCTAACTTCAAATTCCTTCCTCGCTGGCTTCCCAGGAGCCCTTCCATCTGTCCTTGGGGAAGGAGACATTTCAAGCCTGGTCACTTCACACGCAGGTGCAGGAAGGGCCCCGAGAGGAAGTGTGAGTGGGGAGTGTCCCTGCTGGGGACTGCAGCACCCTTAGCACCGTGGCGAGAGGGGGCGGCAGCAGAGGTGCGGGGCGGGGGGTGGGGGGCGCGAAATGTGCCTCTCAGCCCACAGCCCTACACAGAGGGGTGGGACATGTTCCCCATTGGAGAGAGAGTGAGACAGAGCAGATGGGGAGAACACGTGGACATGGTGGCAGTGAGGCGGAGGAGGATGCGGTGGCCACATCTGCAGACATTGGGGTTCCACTGGAGAAGGCTGCAAAGGTCAGGCTGAGAGCTGGGGCTTTAGGCAAAAGGGCCATCAGAGGCTTCCGAGCAGGGTTGTAAACTGACCAAACCCTGGTTTAGAACCAGTAGTACAGAGGTGGCAGAAGCAGGGAAGTCCAGCCATAAACCAGATGCCAGAGAGAGACTGGACGTGGATGAGGGCTGGCACCAGAGGCATCGGGAATGGAGGAGGAGATGTGGCACAAGACCCAGGTTCTGGTCCTCGCAGGGCAGAGCAGCCGGCCGGGGTGAAGGTATGTGTGCTGTGCTCCCCCAGGAACTAGCCTGCGGTGCTGGAGAAAGCCAGAGCCAGAGAGTTCCTGTGGTCCGCACAGAAAAGGAGACCCCCAGGGAGAAGATCAGAGGCCCTGGGAAGCTTCATCTCTGCTTCCGTTGCCAACAGCAAGGGGCCACACACAGTTTTAGTCCAAGAACTCCACCCTGGAAGCTAAGCGGCTTTGGGGCTTTGGTCTGGGCTGGAGAAAGCAAAGGCCACAGGGGCAGGCATGCGATCTCCAGGAGAGAGCTAGGCAGGGAAAGACACATCGCTCCAAAAATAACGTCCACGAAGTGTCGCAGCTTCTCCTTCCACATCCACAGGGAGGCTGCTTCAAAGCAGGGGTGTTCTCCCCAACAGCAACACACTTCCTACTCGCAGAGTTAAGTTTCCAGGGGAATTTCCCCCTACTCCCAGAAAGGCCCTTGGGTTCCATCCTTTCTTATCTAAAGGGGCAAACCCCACTCGGGCCCAGGCCATCTCTGCCTTAGAAAAGGTAGACTTGTGGTTTTTCAGAGAAGCTAGAAATCCCATTTAAAAAATAAAGCCCATCTATCATTTTGGTGTATTTGTGTTAAAATACACATGTAAAACATTGCATTGCCTTGAACTCATTTATGTATGTATTTGTGTATGTGTGTATGTATGTATGTATTTGAGAGACAGACAGAAATAGAGAGGGAGAGAGCTCACATATTCTGGTTCTCTGGTTCATTTCCCATATTCTTGCAACTGGCTGGGGCTGGAGCAGGCCAAAGCTGGGAGCCAGGACCTCAATCCAGGTCTTCCACGTTGGAGGGGAGGGAACCAAATGACTTGAACCATTACCTGCTACCTCCCAGGGTGCACATTATCAGAAAGCTAGCATTGGAAGCAGAGGCCAGGACTGAAACCCGGGTGCTCCAACACGGGATGCAATAGTCCCAACTGGCATTTTAACCAGTAGGCCAAACACCTGCTCCCAAATCTTGCCATTTCAACCATCTGCATGTGCCCAGCTCTGCAGCATTAAGTGTATTCATTCTGCTCTGGCAATCTCCAGAACTTTCTCATCTTCCTAAATGGAAACCCTGCCCACTCTCCCCAGACCCCAGCTCTCAGCCACAATCATTCTATTTTCTGTCTCTAGGAATTTGACTAATCTAGCATCTCACGCAACTGGAACCATGCAATATTTGTCCTTTTAGAGTTAGAAACGTGCCAGGGGATTCCAATTCAACCCCATCAAGGTAGCATGTACAACGCCATCTCACTAGTCAAAGTGATCAGTTTCAGTTCCCAATTGATCATAATGAAACGATTGAGAGTCAAAGGGATCACATAAACAAGACTAGTGTCTGCTAATACTAACTGAATTAACTGAAAGAATGATCCAACATGGGAAGCAGGATACACAGCAGACTCATAGAATGGCAGATGTCCTAAACAGCACTCTGGCCTCAGACTCAGCCCTTAAAGCATTCAGATCTGGCTGAAGAGCCCATGGGAGTATTTCAGGCAATTGAAAGCCAAGACACTCTGGCAAAAAAAGAAAAAAAAAAAACCCTAAATGAAAGATCTCTGTTGAGTGAGATCCCAGTGGAAAGAACGGACCATCAAAGAAGGAGGTACCTTTCTCTGAAGGGAGGAGGGAACTTCCACTTTGACTATGAACTTGTCTAAATAAGATTGGAGTTGGCGAACTCAAAAGGCTTCCATAGCCTTGGCAACCCATGACAAAAGCCTAGGGTGATTACTGATGCCATAAACAAGAGTGTTAATTGTTATGTCAACAACAGGAGTACCTGTGCACTTACTCCCCATGTAGGATCTCTGTCCTTAATGTGTTGTACAATGTAAATTGATGCTATAACTAGTACTCAAACAGTACTTTACACTTTGTGTTTCTGTGTGGGTGCAAACTGTTGAAATCTTTACTTAATATACACAAATTGATCTGTATATAAAGAGAATTGAAAATGAATCTTGATGTGAATGGGATGGGTGAGGGAGCGGGAGATGGGAGGTTTGCAGGTAGGAGGGAAGTTATGGGGGGGGGTAAAAGCCATTGTAATCTAAAAGCTGTACTTTGGAAATTTATATTTATTAAATAAAAGTTTAAAAAATGTCCTTTTTTCACTGGCTTATTTCACTCAGCATAATGTCTTCAAGGTTTGCCCATGTCACAGCATGTCCTAGAACTTCCTTCTTTTCTATAGCCGAATGGCATTCCCCTGTATAAATACACCACATTTAAAAAAATCCACTCATCCAACAGGAAAGATTTATCTAGGCTGTTTTCCACCTTTTGGTGAAAAATGTTGCCAGAACAGGGGTGTACAAATATCTGTTGAAATGCCTGCTTGCGGGCCAGTGTTATAGCCTAGCAGGTAAAGCTGCAGCCTGCGACACAGCATCTCATAGGGGCGCTGGTTCGTGTCCTGGCTGCTCCACTTCTGATCCAGCTCCCTGCTGATGGCCTGGGAAAAGCAGCAGGAGATGGCCCAAGTGTTTGGGCACCATACCCATGTGGGAGACCTGCAGGAAGCTCCTGGCTTTAGCCTGGTCCAGCCCTGGCCATTGCAGCCATCTGGGAAGTGAATCAGCAAACAAGATCTCTTTCTCTACCTCTCTTTCTCCCTTTCTCTCTGTAACTCTGACTTTTAAATAAATAAAACAAGGCAGAGTGGATAGTGAGAGAGAGAGAGAGACAGAGAGAAAGGTCTTCCTTTTGCCATTGGTTCACCCTCCAATGGCCGCCACGGCTGGCGCACCGCGCTGATCCTAAGGCAGGAGCCAGGTGCTTCTCCTGGTCTCCCACGGGGCGCAGGGCCCAAGCACTTGGGTCATCCTCCACTGCCTTCCCGGGCCACAGCAGAGAGCTGGCCTGGAAGAGGGGCAACCAGGACAGAATCCGGCACC